TGCCCACCTAGCAATTCAAAAGCATGTCAAAGAGCAAGTAGATAAATAGGTACCGCTCCGGTGGGAAGGTAAACGGTGTTTCCATGCGCTGCTCTGGTTCGCCAGAAGCAGCTTAGTCATGCTGGCCACATGACCCGGAAGCTGTCTGCGGACAAACGCCGGCTCCCTTGGCCTATAGAGCGCAATGAGTGCCACAACCCCAGAGTCGTCCGCGACTGGACCTAAAGGTCTGGGGTACCTTTACCTTTACATTGAATATGGAATTCTTGATGAAGACAACACATGCTACCAGGAGTGAAATACATGATTGTGGGAAGCTACTGTGAAAGTATTTGTGGGGCTCACAAGTTCTACAAGTTTATTTTTTGTTTTTCAAATTGAGTATCTTAGGGTGCAGCACTTTCAGCTAATATCAAACAATGAAGACATTTGCAACAATTTCAAGTTATACACAATATATATTAAGTTTGTACAGTAGTTTTGATATGCATTATTTACTTAAAACAGTTTCTCCAAAATTTCAGTTTTTCTCAGGCTGGGGGTTCAGGTAAATTTTGATGGGTTTCAGCTTCACATTTTTAAACCTAAGACAGACGTTGAAGCTATTCTTGACAAATCTCCTTTTCTGGAAAAGCCTTACTTGTTAAGGTAATACTGATTGTATTGTTCCACCTTTGATGTATTACAGCACTAATTGGGGGTGGGGGACTAGTTCTTGCATCTAAAATATGTAGTACAGTGGATGCTCGGGTTGCGAATGTGATCCGTGCAGGAGGCACGTTCTCAACCCACAGTGTCCACAACCCACAGCGCTGCGTCTGCCCATGCGTGGGTTGCGATTTGACACTTCTGTGCATGCTCAAAGCACGATTTAGCGCTTCTGCATGAGCGCTGAAACCCGGAAGTAACCCATTCCAGTACTTCTGGGTTGCAGCGCGTTCGTAACCCGAAAACGCGCAATCTGAAGCGTCTGTAACCCTAGGTATGACTGTACTTGTTTACTGAATTTAATGTATGCATTTGCATACATTTATATATATATATATATATATATATATATATATATATATATATGCAACTTTTACACTTCTTAAGGACAAATACATGGCTAGGAAGACTGAGATTTTTCATATGTCTTTGCTAAATTATTTGCTAAAACTATTGAATTCATATTCACTGCAGGGGGAAAAATTCTACACTTGGGCCAGTGATATTTCTCTACTGCCTTTTTTAGCAGGATATTTATGTCTAGATCTACAGTATACATGAGTGAAATGGCCTGTAAAAATTATTGACGAATTTTGGCATAGACCGATTCAAAATATTGTCAGTAGCCTGTATTGTGTTGTCAGCTGAAACAGTACTGCCCCATTACTGCATCCTTAACAAGAAAGCGGATGGTTTTGATGCTGAAATTCTGCTGATTCAGTATTGTACTTCAGCGCCCCCACCCCAGCGTCCCTAATTATTCCTTTGACTGACTAAAATCCAACTTGGCAAGCTCAGCTGCTGTACCATCACTTCTCTTCATGCATTGTTTGTTGCTGTCATGGGTCATCAAATCATGAGTCAGATAATGTTCTTTGCTTGGTCCGTCATTTAGTTTATCTAAATTTCAGAACGGTTTGATTGCCTTCATAATCCTCCCATTGTGTTTGTAATGCACGGCCAGGAAAAGTAGCTCATGAAAACTGCTTGTTAGATTTCACATCACTTTTCAGGCAATTATTACATCCCAAAACCTCTCTCGTCAATTTAAAGAGAGAGAGAGAGGTTTTGCCATCAGGCTTAACAATAATACGGAGGGGAGAGGAGGGAGATCAGTTCTTCAAGGTCAGAACAGAGTAGTGACCTATATAAGGGCATGCATACCCAGATGGGGCCAGGCTGATCTTCCCTCGCCGCTAGAGTTTGTGGTTGAATAGTGGTTCGTGACTGTTGTGCCTTTGGCTGACGGATAATAATAATAATAATAATAATAATAATAATAATAATAATAATAATAATAATAATTAATTTATTATTTATACCCCGCCCATCTGGCTGAGTTTCCCCAGCCACTCTGGGCGGCTCCCAATCAGTGTTAAAAACAGTACAGCATTACATATTAAAAACTTCCCTGAACAGGGCTGCCTTAAGATGTCTTCTGAATGTCAGGTAATTATTTATCTCTTTGACATCTGATGGGAGGGCGTTCCACAGGGCGGGCACCACTACCGAGAAGGCCCTCTGTCTGGTTCCCTGTAGCCTCACTAGATGGGGCCAGAATGTCCCATCTCTGCCCACCCCACCCACTAAGCTGCTGCATTCAAAGAACAATTGACAGTTGGAGCCGAGTATTCTTTCTAGTGGAGAGGGAAGGTGGGAGGCAGGGAGTGCCTTCCGGCTGCTCCTAGTCTGGCCCATAGATGGGACCACACTGGTCTCCCCCCTTGCCGCAATGTTCTTCTGGCAGGCAAGAAGAAATAGACCGTCTCAGTGGGTCTATGTTCCCCTGGGCACTCCCAGACTCCCCCAACTTGCCTTTCCTTTGCCTCTGCAGTCCCAGGCCAATTTTGGCCCATTTGCCTGGGGGAGTGTGTTTAATGGCCCGAGACTTCTGAATAGGTAACACATCTTAATTGAGATGAAAAGTTTATTAGAAATAGATTCAGTCAGTCAGCCTAGAGTCGTGAATATAGATACGAGAAGGAATAACGGGATGGAGCAGATGTGGGTGGAACTTTGCTAGGTATGCACCATTATGGCATGAAACATGGAGTGGTTGCTTGACCTTGATCCCCCAATTAATTCCTCCGTGATCAGGCTTTATTGTTGCATACTCCACAGAACGAGTGATATTGACCATGTGGGATATACCGTATTTTTCTGTGTATGACTAGGGTTCTTTTAAACCAAAAAGTTAGGTTTAAAATTGGGACTCGTCTTATACACAGGTAGCGCTGAGGGGTGTTTTCTTAATCTGGAGTCCCCAAAAATAGGGGGCGTCTTATACACGGAAAAATACGGTATGTTTGAATGCTCTCCCGCAAAATGTCCTAGCAAGCAGATTTAAAACAAGAAGGAAAGGGGCCGGTTCAAATCATTGTTACACAGCAGGTTTCCCACGGATATGGCCCGTGTATTTATTAAACAATGTTGCAAATTTGACCACTAAGCCAAGTTACAAGTCAATAGAATCAATTTATACTTGTTTCATTCTTTTCATTCTTCTTTCATTCTTTTACCCAGGCCTTACACCTACTTGTCACATTATATATATATATGTTTTCCATATGTATTCTTTTTTACTCATGGGAAGTTCTTGTTCAAAATGCCCCCTTTAGGTCTTTTTTTTTTTTTAAGACAGGCATGTTGTGAGATTCACTGGACAAAAACACACACACAAAGAAAAGACATTTTAACTCGACATATCTGGTAGAAGCCAACCATTCAGCTTAGAGATTAAAATGTAGCACAACCATATTTATATTCAGGTTATTTAATACTAACCCAAGTTATTCCTGAATATGTCCCATGATACTGTTTTGGGTGAGCTGGACTTACTTTCCGTGCTCCTTCTATGAGGAACTTCAAGCCTGGGTGCCACAAATGAAGTATTGGCAGCACTAGGCTTCCAAAAAGAAGAGGAGTCCCTATTGCTCCCTAAGAAAAATGCAAAAAGCGAGTTGGATTTTTATTAGCCCTAGCCAAAATAGTCAGTAGATTCCCTAGAAAAATCTGTGCTTAAGCAAAGCAATGAAATGCTGACTTGCTGTTTAAGTTGCAGTGAGCAATCCTAAAATGGCATGTAAAAGAAGATAGCGCCTAGTAGATCGCAATCTAATTTAAGTCTGCTATGTAGATCTCAGATTGCATTTGGAGCTGCTGTGACAATCACGGCTGAACTCCCCTTTTTGAAAACATGAAATCCAGCACTCACCCCGAGAAGGCTGGAGGCTTGACTTGTGGAGAAGTCAAAAGCCTTTCTTTTTACCTTTTAGTTGGCCCTAGTAAAGATCTCCCCAGCTGTGGAATTCACCTAAATTGAGCCATCTAGTGGTGAGATATGTTTTGTTTGTGAAGGTAATAAATGCCTCTCAAATACAACCTTCCCTGTAGTGGATTTGCTGTGTTAGTAGCAGATTATAAACTGTAAAGCAATTTCAGAAATTCTGGGATAAGATGGAATCTCTAGGGACAGTATCCAGCACTTCTGCTGATTTCAGTAGGCTTATTCAGTTTATCCTTGTGGATCTTAACCATTGTATCTGCTATGGGTCTATTGGAAGGAAATAAAAGGTAAAGGTAAAGGTACCCCTGCCCTTACGGGCCAGTCTTGACAGACTCTAGGGTTGTGCGCCCATCTCACTTAAGAGGCCGGGGGCCAGCGCTGTCCGGAGACACTTCCGGGTCACGTGGCCAGCGTGACAAAGCTGCATCTGGCGAGCCAGCGCAGCACACGGAACGCCGTTTACCTTCCCGCCAGTAAGCGGTCCCTATTTATCTACTTGCACCGGGGGGTGCTTTCGAACTGCTAGGTTGGCAGGCGCGGGGACCGAGCAGCGGGAGCGCACCCCGCCGCGGGGATTCGAACCGCCGACCTTTCGATCGGCAAGTCCTAGGCGCTGAGGCTTTAACCCACAGCGCCACCCGCGTCCCAAATACTGTAGCTCAAAAGGAGAACTTGACAAAAGCCAGGTATAGAAGTGACTTTTCAACAACTTTGTATGCAAACAGACCTGTTCCAATGTGCCTAGTTTTCAATCTATATAATGTGCTACCAGATTTTGTGGATTTTGCTAGAGAAAGGAGTCGATTTGCAGTTCTGGCTTACAGAATATATGTGAGTTTGCCATCCATAACAGCTTCATGTAGAGTAAAATGGTTCTCTTTTATTTAATGGGATGATTGGCCATAAGCTTATCTGTGCAGATACAAGGACATGGCAGTAAACAGATGCTTTTACTTATATTGAACAGATTAGCTTGTACTTTTGAAAAGTGCAAATCAAATCATAGTAGTTTGCTTTGGGATTTTTAGGCTTGATAGAAGAGTGACACTTCCACCACGATTTCAGAAGGAGCTTCACCCATCAAAAAACGTACCTGTGGACTTCAATGGTATGTTACCAGAGGGCCACAAAACCTTGACTGCTAAGCCAAGCCACACTTCATGGGTGGGCGGGTGGTTTTATGTATTTAAACAGAACTCATGGTAAAATCAAATTTTGGTGTTCATGCAAGCAGTTCCATTGGACATAATTCTGCTCTTAATACCTAGTAAGAAAATACATAACTTGGCAAGGTAATGTAGAATGAATAGAGGTGGATTATCAACCAAGTAAACATTTCCTAAAAACACCAACAGTGTCAGTATATACTTCTTAGACTGCTCCTGTGCTCAGTTAGTTAGGAGTAAGCTCCTTTAAACTTGTGGTTTACTTCTGAGTAAACATGAATAGGATGATGCTGTAAAGGACATTGTTAAACAAATGCTTAAAAGACTGTCCGTTCAGTTGGAACACATCCTTTGCACTGGTAATTAAAAGCCAAAGTATCTTTCCAAAGTATTATGATTGTAAAATGTTTGCTCATTGTGAACGCCATCGAGAGAGAGAGAGAGAGAAGGCCCTTGCCCAACCCTGCAATATTAGCTTCCTTGTTCACCTTTTTAAGTGGCTGGGTGGTTTCCTTTTCGTTTAGTCTAGCTATACTTGAAATATCTCAAAGCTCAGTATGAACTGGGATTGAAAATACTTGCAAGCTCAAATAAAGAAATGAACCTCAAACATATTTCCTACAAACTTGATATTTAGCCTGGTTAGCTTTAGCTTTAGCCTGGTTAGTTTCCCTATTGTGTCATCATCTTTAGAGCGTTCACTCCAGGGAGAGACAAAGGAAGGAACCTTTGACGTAGCAGGAAAGAACAGTTGCCATGGTGATGGTTGCCAGTATATTTTTTATGTTAACAGGATGCGCAGCACGGAGAACTCTTCCATAGCCATCTTCAGTGTAGTGTCTCAAACATACTATTGTTTATATGAATATGTTAACAGATTGAAAAATTAAGCCAGTGTTCTAGACTATTTAACATTTGTATATTTTATATTTGTATATTTATAACATTTGTAGCTTTTATATTTAATATTTAATATTTTAAAAGGAAAGTTTTAAAAAGCTAGCTACTGGCTTGGAGGATTCCGGTAAGATTGTCATCGCCACCAACAAAAAGGGATTCAGCTAGTTGCTACAGTGGCGCTGTGGGTTAAACCACAGAGCCTAGGACTTGCCGATCAGAAGGTCGACAGTTCGAATCCCCGCGACGGGGTGAGCTCCCATTGCTCGGTCCCTGCTCCTGCCAGCCTAGCAGTTCGAAAGCACATCAAAGTGCAAGTAGATAAATAGGTACCGCTCCGGCAGGAAGGTAAACGACGTTTCCGTGCGCTGCTCTGGTTCACCAGAAGCGGCTTAGTCATGCTGGCCACATGACCCAGAAGCTGTATGCCGGCTCCCTCGGCCTATAGAGCGAGATGAGCGCCGCAACCCCAGAGTCGGTCACGACTGGACCTAATGATCAGGGGTCCCTTTAAAAAGGTAAAGGTAAAGGTACCCCTGCCCATACGGGCCAGTCTTGACAGACTCTAGGGTTGTGCGCCCATCTCACTCAAGAGGCCGGGGGCCAGCGCTGTCCGGAGACACTTCCGGGTCACGTGGCCAGCGTGACATCGCTGCTCTGGCGAGCCAGAGCCGCACACGGAAACGCCGTTTACCTTCCCGCTAGAAAGCGGTCCCTATTTATCTACTTGCACCCAGGGGTGCTTTCGAACTGCTAGGTTGGCAGGCGCTGGGACCGAACGACGGGAGCGCACCCCGCCGCGGGGATTCGAACCGCCGACCTTTCGATTGGCAAGCCCTAGGCGCTGAGGCTTTTACCCACAGCGCCACCCGCGTCCCTAAGGTCCCTTTACCTTTTTACAAATGTCCCTTTACCTTTTTACAAATGTGCTGCTGCTGGACTAGAACAATGGCTTTACCTTGTATCCTTTTAAAAGAAGAAATGCTGTCTTCCAAAAGTTTGTGTTCTTGCTTTTCAGAAAATGCAAAAGAAATGAGACAACTCGTGCCACTTCAGCCTCCTTCTCCTTCAAATACCGATATATATGAGATTCAGAGAAGAGTTAAAGAGATTCTAAATCAATGCAGCAATGGAATATGTTTATCAAAGTTACCGTATGTGTACAGAGAGACTTATCGGGAGGACTTAAATACAGCCTTGCTCCCTCAGTTTGAGAACTGGCCTCACGTTTGTGTGGTAGGTGTCAGCTTTTACCAGAGTGGATAAGAACTGGTTTAGACAAATCCCGTTTCTTGGTTTGAATAATATTTTTTTTAAAAAAAATCAGGTATACACAATATCTCATTAAAAATGGGTTTAACTGCAAATTTTAATTTAATACGAAAAGGGCCTACACAATCCCAGCTAAAATATGACTCTTAACACTGAATTAAATGTTGCTTTTCTATGTGAAACCAAGAATGGTGGCCAACTGCTGAGTTAAGCAATATAAATGATGCTAAGGCTGCAATCCTCTATTATCCAGCTGGCCACAAAGGTTCTGTGGAAGTTTCCTAGTTAAACAGATAGAAGCTCAAATACTTAAGTTTGTGTTAAATCCTAATACAGCCCAGGAAGGCATATAATTCATTTTGGATGTCTTTTTGACCCCAGTCAAGAAAGCAACTTGGAAATATCCCATTTTCCTTTTTGGCTAATAAGTACTATCCTCGCTTCTGGAAAGTTCTAGACACTCACTTTCCCCCCAGATGTAGACATGTTTACTCAGAAGTCAATCTCACTTTATTCACTGGGATTACTTCAAAATGAGTCTGCATAGGATTGCAGCTTTACACTTCAAGATTATTTCATGTGCAGAGAGAAGTAAACTATGTATGCAGGTGTAACTTTGCCACGTGAAGGCTTTGTGGGTTGTATAGCCAAAGGGCTTCAGTTGTGCTCCTAGGGTTGTATAAAGGCTTTATTCTGGCCCCCTTCAGGCATTCAGTTCACACAATCAGCTGTTGTGTGGAGGGGGAGAGCAGGGCTGCATCCACTGGTTCTGTTGGCCCTACTGACAACCATACGTCAGCTGTATATCTGCAAAATTGTGTTGTTTTTAGAATATGTAAAGATGGTTTTCTTGTGTTCAGAAATGCTTTTGTTTTTAAAACCTGTGTTTCGTTCTGTGTTCATCTTGTGTTTACCACTTTTGACAGCTTTATGCTGTTAATAAAATGGTTAAATCAGCTAAATTTGGCAGTGAACGTTTGCAGAGGGGTGGCTGCTTCTTATGCGTAGGAGGCTTCCCCTTGTAGTGTGTCATCATGTGAAGGGTTGTACTCCACAAGGAAAACCAGTGCAGATAAAGCGGATGCCCATGTGGACCTGGGGGGGTGGGGGGGGCAGAAGTTCTGCTCCTTCTCTCCTGCTCCGTGCAATTATTTGTGTGACTTGAATGCCTGAAGTCCGTTTCAGTTGCATGCTAAGTTAATGGCTATAGCCACTCAGTATGGACAGTTGTTTTTTAAACAGTACATTTGGAAAGGAGACAGTAATTGAACAAATCGTGTTTACATTTTTTATTTGTTTTTAAAAAATGCATCCGTACTTGCTTTTCCAGCATGTCTAATGCTACTCCTGTGAATAACCTAAAAATAGCTCAAGCCTATAATCTGCAGCTTGGGTAGACATTGTGGTGCCTACAGTTATTGTAGACATCACCTCCCATCAACCCTGGTTGTCTCTGGCCATTGGCAATCCTGACTGTGGCTGATAGGCCTTGTAGTCCAAAAGCTATAAAATCATCCGTGTTGACTACCTTTGATCTACTGTAAGCCAATTTCAGACTGTTCATTTTGAGTGCTTTTCCATTTTGCATGCAATAAAGGTAGATTTCACCCTCATTTAAAAATGCTAATCAGAATGCATATATGAGCACACATACGGATTTCTGCTCTTACATTTGCCCTTATACTCTTAGATGGATATAAGAAATGTTATTTATAAGTAATGTATCAGCATGTTGACATACCAGTCAGTTTTGGTGGAATGCAGATAAGCTATATTCTTTTTGCTTTCATCAGTCTGTAGCCGTACTGAATGCTTCCCAGTTCTTAAAATATGTGAGCGTCTTAGCACAAGCCTAAGCACACTTTCAAATATTCCAATCATCTGCTCATTTATTCCCAAATACATGCAGGTACCACTTCCCAAATGCAATGCGTTCCTGGGAAATGTTCATAACTCACATAATGAGTCCAGAATTTCCATTGGTTCCTATGGGAACATTTCTAATTGGGGATTTATCCAATCTCTCCCCCTGCCCTCTCTCCATGGTTTCTTCCTGAAACAGCTATAGCCAACCAGCAGAAGAGACAAAGGAAAACTTATTTATCCGATCTCTCCTACTCCTTGATTTGTTCAATCTCCCTGCCCTGCTCCTCCCCCGCATGGTTTCTTCCTGAAAATGTCTGCCCTTGCCAGCAAAACACAAGCAAGGAAGTGGGCAGACACTGGGTGTTCAGATAGCTAAATCTGTGGAGTGTATTGCAAAGTTTGGGCATAATTCTTTGTTTGGATAAGTGAATTTTCACATAGTGAGAGGGCAGGTAGCAGGACCTGCATGTAAACACATGTATGAATAACAGCAAGCTTCAGTTGTTAAAGATGAGCAATGTTTGTAAGAGGGACACCTTGAGCAATTGAACAGTGCTTGACCATGAGCCCCACCTACTTTCATAAGGGTGAGATTAGTCCTGTTTTAAACTACCTGGAGATCTAAAACTAAATCAAATCCAACCACAGTAGAAAATTTTTGCTGTTGAGATGAAACAAACCTGTGCTAATTTGACATGGTTTTTAGTACGGCTGCAAAAAATAAAGCTGTTTCATGTAGGGGTGAGTGAATGTGACGAGGTGGTGAGAAAACAAAAGGTTAGTCAAAACCGATGGTGGTCAGTGTACATAGATGTAAATGGCCCGTCTACAGACACGTGTAGAAACCACTTTTGAATTGCCCGCAATGCTCCAATTCAGTAACGTAGCTGTTTTTGTAACCCTCCTGCTTTCTCTCAAAAGACAGAGAAGGTATGTTCTGGTGGCCTTAGGGATATATTCCTCTACCCTGCTGCAAAAACACAGCCTTTGGTGAAGGGTGTCTCAAGCGAAGAAGGAAGCCTTCAGCCCCCCTTAGTAAAACAGACTGTAGAGACCAAAGTAGATGCGCCCCAGGAGGATTTCAAGCAGAAAATTGCCGCCATCTTGTTAAAATATTCCAATGGCCTTTGGGCGAATGCTCTCCCCAAAGTGTATGAAGACACGTACAAAGCACCATTACCTCAGGATATTCTGAAAAGTCTTGAGGCCCTCTCGGATATATGTTCAGTGGATTACATATCTGGCAACCCCAAAAAGGCCATTCTCTATGCAAAGTCGAAAAAGCACACGGACGAGAACCAGAATGTGACTGACAAAACCCACACAAATGAAGTTCTAGCAAGACCAGCCGAGCAGCATCCCACCACGATCAAGCACGAATCCCAAGAGGAGTATTCGGAGAACATGACCGTGCCTCCGTTAATCATCCCAGCAGAAACATCACCATCTGTGCTGGTGGTGGAACTGAGCTCGACAAATGAAGTTGTTGTCAGGTAAGATTACTGTCCTGGTCTTCCCTAATACACCTGTAGTAGTGCAGTGGGGTTATCTCTTCAACTGTCAGCACACCAGCCATTCAATTGAAGGAGAACAGATTAAGAAAATGAAAAATCTAAAGATTTACTCTGGTGTTCACTTTAAAAATATGGTCTGACAGCACCATCTTGTGCATGTCTGCTTAGAACAAAGTCTCATTAAGTGTGTATAGGAGTGCACACGCCATTTGTTATCATCATGTTTAAGTTTAAAATCTCTTAACTGAACCGAGGGAGCCTTTTCTTCATGAAAGATTGGCCAGAAGCCAACTTCTGAGGTTAAACATTGCAAATGTATCAAGTATTTAATAGTCCCTTGGTCCAGTAGGAAGTTCATAATAAGTATGAACTTCGTATTAGACCTAGGGACTAGTAAATTCGAGGATGTAGATGACACATTCCTATATTGTGGCAGGATCCTCCACTGAGCCCATAGGAGTACAAGGTTGTGTTCTTGGCCCTCAGACTATCTAGAATATGTTCAGTTGTGAAATTACTATTATTTATAACTTTGCCAACCAGACATCATGGACAATTCACTTGTTGAAACTTTTTTATTCAGCAACTACCATCTCTTCTCAACATTTATTGGAGCTCAATCCCATACATATTTACTCAGAAGTAAATTCCGCTTTGTTCAGTGGGACTTGTTATCCAAATAAGTGTGTATAGAATTGTTTCCTTAGCCTTTGAGTAAGTGATTTTGCTTACTGTCATCGCATGCCCATACACTACCTTGTCAAGATGTAGACAAAAGGGTACGAAAAGTGTATGCATGTAAGGTCCACGGCCAAAGCATTGTGCATGTACATTACATAAAGGCTTTGCTTAGTTGCAATTATATACGTTTTGTTAGAGCTATCGGCTAGTAAGTATGTGAAAGAGAAAGAGCTGCCATTAATTCACTTAATTTGCGCACTCTGCCTTGGCTCTCGTCTTTCAGGAAGAGAGGTGTCTCTTTCGAGGCGTCTGCCACATGCGGTTGATTTGCAGTCTTGCGATGACCGATTGTCATAAGCCACTCTTACCTTGGGACAACTTGGCATACAGTCAAACCTTGGTTGTTGAATGTAATCTGTTCCGGAAGACAGTTCGACTTCAGAAACGTTCAACAACCAAAGCGTGGCTGCCGATCGGTTGCAAGAGCTTCTTGCATGCAAGCGGAAGCCACTCTGGACGTTCAGGTTTCGAAAACCGAAGCATTTACTTCTGGGTTTTCGGTGTTCGGGAGCTGAAACGTACAATAACAGAGGCATTCAGGAACCAAGGTTTGACTGTAGCAACAGTGGAGTCCATTACCTGCCTACTGCACATTTGCTTTTGAACACTTGGACAAATTATGAATATTATTCCAAAAAACAAACCCAGCAGTAACAGAGTTGGTGTAAATATTGGGAATATGTGAAATCTTTCGACTCTTTGCAGTATAAATATTAAGATCAGACTTGCAGTGAAATTGAATTTGCACACACCTACGCTCTCATGTAGGGACATGGGTGGCGCTGTGGGTTAAACCACAGAGCCTAGGACTTGCTGATCAGAAGGTCGGCGGTTCGAATCCAAGCAGCGGGGTGAGCTCCCATTGTTCGGTCCCTGCTCCTGCCAACCTAGCAGTTCGAAAGCACACCAAAGTGCAAGTAGATAAATAGGTACCGCTCCGGCGGGAAGGTAAACTGCATTTCCGTGCACTGCTCTGGTTCGCCAGAAGCGGCTTAGTCATGCTGGCCACATGACCCAGAAACTGTACGCCGGCTCCCTCAGCCAATAAAGCAAGATGAGTGCCGCAACCCAGAGTCGTCCACGACTGGACCCAACGGTCAGGGGTACCTTTACCTTTACCAATTCTCTCATGTAATTCCATACATTCCTTTTTCAAGAAGCAAGAAAGTTCTAGGATTACCCACTTCAGTTTAAGAGGAGATCTAAGGCATTAAAAAACTCACTTGTTCACAAAATAGCATGTAAACTGTCTTCCTTAATGTCTACACCAGGTATATGTATTCCACTGTGTAAGTGTGCACTCTTAGAATCTAGCCTCCATACAGCCTGCACTAATCTGTTTCTACACCCTTTTTGCCTTAAAATTATTCTGGGTTAGGGGAGATATGTTACATAATGCTTTATGTAAACACTTTTGCACTTGTTACCACTTTTGTTGTTGTGATTTATACCAACTATCATTTCTGCTTGAAATCCTGTAGGTATGTGGGCAAAGACTATTCCGCTGCCCAGGAATTAATGGAAGAGCAGATGAAGGATTGGTATGGTCGGAACCCCTCAGGTTTGCAGATACAGTCTCCTAAAGTTGGACAGGTTGTTGCTGTGCCTGCAGTAGAAGATGCTTGGCTGCGTGCACAGATTACTTCGACAGATGGCAATAGGATAAAGGCAAGTGCAGTAGATTTCTGTAGTAAAAATGGTGTTGAAATCAGATGAAAGTGCTGGTCTCTCAGTTGATTGCGATAGTTGCCTTGGACACTTCTTACAAAGTGGGAATGTAGGGTAATATTTGCTTAAATAAATAATAATGATAATGTCTCCTAAGGGTTTTATGGGTGGGTGAGGAGTGTTAAATTCTTCTAAGGCATACTAATCATTGCAGCATTTGAGCTCTAGCAAATGACCAAGAACAGAGCCTTTCTGGGAGATCTCAGCATAGTAATACGATGCAGTGATTTTTTGTTGGATTAGAATTGCTCTCTTTAGATTCAGATGAAAATGGAGCTGTGGATCTTTTATATCCGGTCAGAAATGCCTTGCATCTACTGCTTCTGCTTACAAGCTTGTAGTTAGTAGTGTTTTGAGAGAAGGTGGGTGGGGTCCAATGTTCCTACTGCAGTCAGCAAAACGTTAGGGGGTTCAACTGACTCAGCCACCAGATGTATTTGACTTGCATCAGTCATGTGTATAAATTCAGAAACTGGCTAGGGAAGAGGATCACTGCTTCCCTTTTATTCCAGGATCCCCAATACCTGCAAAACGGGCCAGGGTGGCTGGAGCGATGGCAAAACCTCCCTCTCTCTTGCCAGCTGTCATCTAAGATGTTGATGCCAACCCCCTACCCCCGATGCATTGTTCAATCCCTCTTGGCTTCTTTGAGTCGAGGAGCTGAACAAAGAGAGAAATACAGTCATACCTCGGGTTGCGAACGTGATCCGTGCGGGAGGCATGTTTGCAACCCACAGCGCCGCGTCTGCACATGTGCATGATGCGATTTGGCGCTTCTGTGCATGCACAAAGCGCGATTTAGCATTTCTGCGCGAGCGCCAAAACCCGGAAGTAACCCGTTCTGGTACTTCCGGGTTTGGCACGGTCCATAACCTGAAAACGCGCAACCCGCAGCGTTCGCAACTGGAGGTACGACTGTAGAGATCAGGTCATACAAGTGTTTGTGGATTTTACTGACTGCAATTCTGTCTATATGAGGAGGAGGAGAAGGGATCAGTAAGAGAGTGGTGGTGAGGAGTACAACTTGATACTGCCACATCCTCCTTGTTGGTGGGCTCTCCCCAGCATACTGACAAGTGGTTATCTTCTCATCTATACACTTGGAAACATAAAACTACTTGGGTGACTTGTTCTTTATATATATGGGGAAAGGCTCGTTGTGCCTCTGATGAAGGCTTAGGATTTCTGCAATAAGGGCATTTCTCTGTATGAATAACATGGTAAGTACCCTTCCATCAGCCTCAAGTTGCAAATCTCCATGTGATTTCATAGTTCGTATGGCTTAGGATGGCAGCCTCGAATATGAAAACAAACATTCAATTTTTCACTGCATGGAGACCTATAAGGAGGGATCTTGGATATTCAGGGCCAGATTCAGCTAACTAGTCCCACCAGCAGAAGCCTGCCCAAGGACTTCCACTAATGAAGCAATGCTCCCCCACCCCACCCCACCTTGTTGGCTCTGCGGGGGTCAGGAACACCCCTGGAACAGCGCACAGTAGGGAGGAGAGAACAAATGGCTCCATCAGACAAGCATAAGTGCTTGCATTGCTGGAGCAAATCTAGCACTCTGCTGAATTTCTCCCTCGGGGATTTACAGTTAACTGCGAACTATGGCTGTAAAGAGAACATGGCCAACATGTTGTAGCACCAGTAATTTGACCAGTGAATAAGTCTTCCTTATATAACATGGCTGTGTCTTTCTGTCTTTGTTCCGTCACTAGGTATGCTACGTTGATTATGGCTTTAGTGAAACCATTGAGAGTACCAGAGTGTGCAAACTAGCCAAGCAATTCTATTCACTGCCGTTCCAGGCTTCAAAATGCAAACTAGCAGGTAAGAGATGCGCCTTAGCCTTCAGCTTGACTACAGAAGCAGTTTGAATGTACAGTGGTACCTCGGGTTAAGTACTTAATTCGTTCCGGAGGTCCGTTCTTAACCTGAAATTGCTCTTAACCTGAAGCACCACTTTAGCTAATGGGTCCTCCTGTTGCTGCTGCGCCACCAGAGCACGATTTCTGTTCTCATCCTGAAGCAAAGTTCTTAACCTGAAGCACTATTTCTGGGTTAGCAGAGTGTAACCTGAAGTGTCTGTAACCTGAAGCGTATGTAACCCGAGGTACCACTGTACTACAAACTGGGAGAAGGAAGGAAGGAAGGCTGTGCCTAACTCCAAATATTGCCAGCTGGGATTGTAAAGGACTGCCCCACCTGGCAGTGCCATCTTTCAGCTTTTATAGTAAAGAGTGGGTGCAGCAGCATAAAGAGTGGCAGGTCTTCCCTATGAATATGTTTCCTTGCAATTTTTACTTACTCCAGTGGAAGGTGTGTGTCTTTTTAAAAAACAAAAAACCTCTGGTATAGTAAATTCTCATCTGGATTTTTTAGAAGTGCATGTTCTTGTTTGGTGCATTTTAACTTTGCAGACAGACGTGACAGGAAACGATATTAGTGTAACCAGTGCGATGTAGCGGTTAGAGTATTGGACTAAGACTGGGGAGGCTTGGTTTCAAATCCCCGCTCATCCATGAAGCTCCCTGTGTGACTTGGGCTAATTGTAGGTTAGGCTGAGAGATTACATCACAGGGTTGTTATGAGAATAAAAGCAAGGAAAAGCAAGAAATAAATGTAATAAGGAGTGTTTTTGTTGTTGTTGTTTTTAAAAGTAAAACAATGCACAAGATGCATGGGACATTAATGACCGCATAGCCACTAGGAGTCTGAAATTGGAATTTCTTCTTGTATGCCTTGAAAGAGCATCTCTCTGTTCTACAAGCATCTTTGTGTGGTGGGGGAGATGACAGCCCCTGTGAAGCATAGTGTGGTTTCTGCTTTTAAAATATAGGCCTATATCCCCGCAAACATTTTGATGATGTGTCAATTACTGTGTGTAATTTCTCACATATTTTGTATACCGTATTTTTCACCCTATAGGACGCACCGTCCCATAAGGCGCACCTAGTTTTTTTGGGGGGGAAATAAAGGGAAAAAAAATTATTCCCCGCGGGGCTGGGGCGGGGGAAGCCCGAGCTTCCCCCGACCCCAGCCCCCAGAACAGGCAACTCTCCGCAAGCCGTGGGAGCCCGGCGCTGGGCTCCCGCGCCTTACGGAGAGCCGCGCGAAGCCTGGGCGCGCTGAGCTCAGCGTGCCCAGCCTTTGGCATGCAGGCAACTCTCCGCAAGCCGCGGGAGCCCGGTGCGGGCTCTCATGGCTTGCGGAGATCTGCGCAAAGCCTGGAGAGCGAGAGGGGTCGGTGCGCACCGACCCCTCTCGCTCTCCAGGCTTCAGCGAAAGCCTGCATTCGCCCCATAGGAAGCACACACATTTCCCCTTCATTTTTGGAGGGGGGAAAGTGCGTCCTATGGGGCGAAAAATACGGTAATTCTGATTTGCTAGGTCTGAGGAGGAAGACTTAAGAGTACTGAAGCCCTGCCTTGTACCACTGGAAATCTTAATCGGCCACCCTTCTTTCTGGCTTGCATTCCTTCAACAGGTGCAGTGGCGTAGCGTGGGGGGTGCAGGGGGGGCCGGCCGCACCGGGCGCAACATCTGGGGTTAGGGCAAATCCACAGGTTAGGGGGCGCAAATCCACGGGTTAGGGGGCGCAAATCCACGGGTTAGGGGGCGCAAATTACTTGCCTTGCCCCGGGTGCTGACAACCCACGCTACGCCACTGAACAGGTGTGCAAATACATTTTTAGAGTAGTAAGGGTTACAGACTTGCTTAAAGCAAGTAGCTCTAAGGTGCAGGAAGACTCAGGTGATGGTGGTATACATTAGATGGACAAAATAAGCATCAAGAGAAATCAGGTCCACCAAACAAGTGGAACGCTCCTCCATTTTTGCCATAAGCAATGATAGTCCAAGCAGCCATGCTGAGGCAAGAAGATCTCTTTCGGAGATGTCCGCAAAACCTACATTCTCCTCTTGTCTGCCTTGCCTTAGGGTTAGAAGCCTTCTCGGACGACCCTGCGATGGTGAAAGTGGTGGAGTCTCAAACCTGTGGCAAGATATTTGCTGTCGAAATACTAGAGAAAAATGACATCCCCCTTGTCATCCTCTACGATACTTCAGGAGAGGATGACATCAACATCAACGCTTCTTGCCTGAAGGCGCTTTGTGATAAATCTCTTGCGCTTCGCCTTCAGGTACTGTTTTCATCTGCTTGTAAAACCCGTAAGATGAGTTGAGGGCACTTGAGTTGCAGCATCCCAATTCATGTTTTGTTTTTAACAGGTAGATGCGCTCTATACAAATGTCCGAGTAACCAATGTCTGTTCGGATGGAACTTTATACTGTCAAGTGCCATCAAAGGGCCTGACCAAACTCTCTGAAGCTTTGCAGAAGCTGGAAAATTACTTCCACCACAAGGTGAATCTTGCTTTTAATTTTGGTTGCCAACTGTACCTCCACAAAAGTCACCTAACAACCCCTTTGTTCGCAAATGAAGAATGCTAAGGTTCCTAATCATTCATTCTTGCTGAGTGAACACCACACACTTTTGCTGTTCGCATACTTACTAGCTGCCCAGCTGTTGTGTCTTGCAGTATTAAATATGTGCGCCATGCAGTACTGCATATTTTCACACGTGGAAATCCTTGTCATGTCAGGAGAAGTAGTTTAGTCCTGAAATCCCCAAAGCAGTTTTCATGCTCGTGCCTTTTTACAGATAAATCCAGCTTGTGATATCCAGACCCATATTGTGCAATAAAATAAGGATCCTCAGTAATAATTGTTGTTTTGTTTGATTAGGCCAACTATGCGCTAGCCGTTTCAAGGCAGGTGATCCCATAGAGTACAGTTTCCCAAATTTGGGTCTCCAGCTGTTGTTAGACTACAACTCCCATCATCCCTCACTTAGCAGGACCAGTGGTCGCAGATGATGGGACCTGTAGCCCAGAAACAGCTAGAGACCCAAATTTGGGAAAACCTTCGAAGAGCAACCCCAGAGGCATTTTTGTAGCACTGTATATGTCTAGAAAGTACAAGATGCATATTTTCAGAGATTGATAGTGATGCTTGTTCCTGGCTTCTCGGTGGTTCTTAATCGTTTCTCTGGTGCTTCTCTTACCAGAGTGGAAATATGAAGGTAACTCATCAATGTGTGTGCTAGTATTTTGGGGAAGAAATCTATATAGTGGAATTGCCGCAGGTAGGGTTAGATAATGTTCTCCCTTTTGGTAACTTGCTTGAGCTATAATGCACTCCTTACCTGCACATTTGGCTGCTGCGTTGTGACTACTTAAAAAGGCTTTGCTTCTTTGTTCCAGCAGGTAACAGAGCATTCGGTATCGCTCCCCTACTGTGGCAAGATCTGTCTGCTTAACTGTAAAGGAAAGTGGGCACGTGTGGAGGTAGGGCATGTGCTGTCACTAACAAATGAACTGCAAAAAGGGTTCAAATATTCTAATTCTCTGGTATTCTAACTGGGCTACTTATTTGTACATTGAATTCTAGAATAAAATTTGGGGTTTTAGCTACCTTGTACTATTTAATGGGTTTAAGCAATGCCACTGCCATTAGTTAACAATAAGCGCACAGTTTGTTGCAGTTTTCATGAGCCAGTTTCTGGTGAAGCAGAATCCTGGCAGTGCCATGGGATGGAACAGTCTCTCCCATTTCCCATATTATAATAGGAAAGAGTTTTAATTGAGTGAAGACTGCTTCAAGCTTAAATATTTGAGAAACTGGCAGCTAGTGAAATAAGTAGAATGGAACCAAAATAAAAGCTGAAAACGAGTTGTGAAATGTTTGCTGATCTTTTGCTTGCTGCTTCTCAGAGATGGCTGGTAAGCTGCTGTCTGCAATTTATACTGATCTCAGCCTTGGGTTCAGTAGCTGACATGTCCTTCACCTTCAAATTTCTGGTTCCTTTTCACTGTGAATATATATATGTGTGTGTGTGTGTGTGTGTATGTGTATATATATATATATATATATATATATATATATATATATATATATATGGGGCTCCCCACAAAGTGGGAATGTGCCAGCATCTAGATGGGAGACTTTTTTGTATTGTGCCCTGGTTTTGTTTCATTGCCTTGTATACTTACCTAAATGCAGCACCGTGACATATTTATTTACTTTGAAAAGATGTTATTGGATTGCAGTCTGTGTCAGCCCCAGCCCTACATGGCTAATAGGATAGTTGGATTCACCTGGAGGGTCAGAGGTTCATTTATCCTTGGTGTGGACCACTGGCTTGAACCTTTCTATCTTTCAATGAGAAAGAGTTCTATGCTAATAAGATGCTTTAAGCCCAGAGCTTTCCAAACTTTTCAAGTTGGCGATGCACTTTTTAGACTTGCAACATTTCACGACACAGTTTTGCATCCTTTTGCAACACAGTCATTCAGCTTTATTAGCCAACTGGAGGTTAAATTAACCCCTTTCCAGCCCTGAGAGGAGCATGGAGAATGTTCGCATAACACACTGCAGCCGACACAATACAGTGGTGCCTCGCAAGACGAAAAGAATCTGTTCCGCGATTCTCTTCGTCTAGCAGTTTTTTCGTCTTGCGAAGCAACCCTATTAGCGGATTAGCGCTCTTAGCGGCTTAGCGGCTATTAAAGGCTTAGCGGTTTAGCTGCTAAAAGGCTATTAGCGGCTTAGAAAAAGGGGGGGAGCGAAAAAAATCGCAAGACTCGCAAGACGTTTTCGTCTTGCGAAGCAAGCCCATAGGGAAAATCGTCTTGCGAATCAACTCAAAAACGGAAAAACCCTTTCGTCTAGCGGGTTTTCCGTCTTGCGAGGCATTCGTCTTGCGGGGCACCACTGTAATGTGTCGCGACACAGTTTAGAAAGCTCTGCTTTAAAAGCCAATCTGAATATGCATTATGCTGTCTACAGAATTGCAGAGGTGCTGACTAAGGCCCCAGCCTCAGGGTGCCCAGCGGCATGTGCACATGACGTCGTGTTGCGGGCACATGCTGCCGCTGCTCTCTGGCGCCACAACAGCAGGGGGGGGTGGAGCACGTCTGCGCCCGTAGTGGACCCCAACAGAGGCCCTGTGGTGGAGGCCCTGGTGGCTCTGGAGAGCCAGAAGTCAGGCAGCAGGTGAAGGCTGGGCACCCACAGTGAAAGGTTTGTGGGTGCCCAGGCATCCAGAGCCCCCTGGAATTGGCACCAGTGCAAGATTGTCTGGTGAATCTTAGGCAGCATAATGGTCCTTGGACTGCCTAATTGCTTAAAGGACCATTCCTGTCATGATCTTTCACAATGAGCTTTCAAAGTGGGCAACACATATTTCCTTTTAGACCAGGGCTGCTAACCCCAGTCCAGGAGCCTGATTCAGCCCACCCAAACAGATTTTTATGGTCCCCAAGACCCCACTGGTTTTGTTGGTAAAGCGATGGGGAAGTAGTGTGTGTGTGTGGCCTCTGTGTGTGCATGCAAGAATGTGCATGCGGCAGTGTCGGGTGACCACACCGTTGCATGCAGCCTCTGGAAGGTTGGCCAAGGATGAATGCAACCCTCAGACCCAAAATGGGCAGCCACTGTTACTTCATACAGGCTGTATTCAGTTCAGCAGGGATTTCCCCCTGTACTCCCCCAAAATTGGCTGGGGGGGTCTACCCTCAGAAGGGTATGCCAGGGAAGAGAAGAGAGTTGGTTCTACCTGGCAAGAAAAAAATGCTTCCACTGACTGAAGGATAACCTTAGCACAACATTGAATTCCACTCTGTGTTAAAATAGGTTTCTCCATTCTCATATTTTGCTTCGTTTCCTTGATGCAGATAACCAGTGTTCATAGTAGCCGGGCTCTTGACGTGCAGTTTATGGATACTGGAACAGTAGCATCTGTAAAAGTAGTAGAGCTGAGAGAGATTCCCCCAACGTTTCTGCGTGAAGTCATTGCAATACCACCTCAGGTATGAATTTTCGTTAATCACTGATTGTTCCCAGGAGCTTGCTGTGTAGACATCAACCTTGTTACTCACGTGCATTTCTGTGTAACCTGAATATCCTTGTAATTATATTGTATGATCGTTTTAGGCAACAAAATGCTGCTTGGCTGACCTTCCTCTTAATATTGGCATGTGGACTCCAGATGCTGTGCTTTGGCTGAGAGACACAGTATTAAATTGTCCTGACTGCAGCATTAAGGTAAAAATACGCCTGTTCGTTGCTTAAAATTCAAGGGTGTTCTTGAATGTCTCTCGCAAAGCCAAACTGTACCACTGTTAGTTTATGTGCTTTGCTTGTTGCAGTCATAAATGAGGGACGTTGACTGATGAACAGTTCCTTTTTGTAGCCACCATATCTCCATATGATATTGTCATGTACAGTACAGCTAACCCACGGGTCTTCATGAGAGCAGGCGGAATTGTGATAATGTAACAATTACATTTACAATATGATTCTGCTGCAGGGTTGTTTTTTGTTTTTTGTTTTTTAGCAGAGTGTTAACCATAGATGTGCTCTAAGGGTTACCCGAGTCCCTCTTTTTCTCTGTTAAAAGCAGAGCAGCAGACTTAGGTTGGAGCAGTGCAGTCCTTGGCTTCTTCCTTTTTGCTGATTTGAGAATTTCCCCAGAATTTTTGCACACCTTTTGTTCTCTTTGTGAACGTGCTTCCCTCCTGGGCACCTGAGTGTTTTCCTTTACACCCTTGTAATACTGTTTTCAAATTGAGCATGTTGACATCATGATGTCGGGGAGCCCTAACACTGAGGTTCACAACTACCAGTCGAAAGAAATTTATCTTTCAGGAAACATGCTTAGAGTGCTCAGATTTTTTTTCTCTGTCCCCTTATTATTATTTTAAAGTGGTGCCATGCAACACACTTCCATCTCATCCTAGACTTCAGTACCATGGCGGGTGTAATGAAAGCTAACTTGGAAAGTATAGTTTTGACTTGGAAGCTAGAATACTAGTAAAGACTGAGCTCTGGGCCAGAAAGTCCTGGGATTAAATCTCGCCACTTGCCACATTCTCTCTAGATGCCCTGTCTTCTTTAAGTCTTCACCCTGTTCGACCTGCAATATGGGGATACTACTGAATTGCACAGAATTTATTTAAGGTTTTCTGAGAATAGGTATAGCACATTTTGAACACTCAAGTGACCTGTGACCTGTCTCCTCCTCGGAGCTCCTTCTCCCTCCTACTCCTGCCCATGTTACTGTTGACAGAGGTTTGCTACGTCAGTTACTCTCTGGCTGTGCTTACCAATGAATAAAACTAAGGTCCGGGTGAATGAGTGTGTATGCTTGCTGGTCAGTGAGTGATCTTCACAAACTCTCTGGGAAGGTAATCACAGTCTGCAAGAACCAAATACTGGCAGTGCTACACTGTTTGCTGTGTACAGTCAAACCTTGGTTGTTGGACGTAATCCATTCTGGAAGCCCATTCGACTTCCGAAACGTCTAGCAAGCGAGGCGCAGCTTATGATTGGTTGCAGGAGCTTACTGCACTCAAGCAGAAGCCGCGTCGGACATTCAGCTTCAGAAAAACTTTCGAAAACTGAAGCATTTACTTCCGGGTTTTCGGCGTTCGGGAGCCAAATCGTTCCAAAACTGAGGCATTCGGGATCCAAGGTTTGACTGTACTTTGGGAGTTCCTCATTGGTCTTGATTTTGGTGTTGATATGAGAGGGAATTTTCCATTTTGTCTTGAGGTTATGGCAAGAAGAGAAAAGGCATTGGCTTCAAAATGCTTCCCTGAGCAAATGATTTGATAAACCAGGGATCTGGTGTTGGGGTAAAAACTGGTATCTTATTCTGCTGCTCACTGGACTGTGTTTATTCTCTTTTCCAGTCCATTTTAATGGGGCACTACTACTACTACTACTAGTAGTAATAATAATAATAATAATAATAATAATAATAATAATAATAATAATAATAAATTTATACCTCGCCCATCAGACTGAGTTGCCCCAGTCACTCTGGGTTGCTTCCACAAAAATACATATAAAAGCAAAGAGGGAAACAATCAAACATTAAAACCTTCCTGAAGCAGGGCTGCCTTCAGATATATACAAAATTTTATATACCGTATTTTTCCCTCTATAACACGCAGATTTTTTCTCCTAAAAAGGAAGGGGAAATGTCTGTGCATGTTATTGAGCGAATGTGTGGTCCCTGGAGGCAACTGGCGCGAGTGGAGGCAAAAATCAAATTGTGCGTCTCGGAGAAGGGAAACCTGAAAAGAGGAAGCGGCTGCTTTCCTGCATTCTGCCTCAGGGTCTTACTGCCCACCCCCCTCTGTTTCCTTGCTGTGTTTGCTCAAACGGAACAAAGAGCAGGGAAAGCCCCTCCCCTCCAGGCAAGCAGAGGGGAAAGCAGAGCGTCCTTCCTTCTAATTCCTCTCCGTGAAATCATGCAGGAGGGAGAGAGAGAGAGCGCGCAAGCTGACTAGCTTGGGTGGGTAGGTGGGGGAAAACTTTTGCCTTCCTTTCCTCCCTCCCGTTATACCCCTCTCCTGCATTCTTAGCCAGCTGCTTCTCTGCACACCCCCCTCGTGCTCCTTGTCCCTTCTGTGTTTTTCCTTCCCTCCCCACTTAAAATGTGGTTACAAAGCATGGATCCACATGGATCCTCAGGATCTTTGCATTGGGTCAGCCCAAATTCACCATCAGACCACATAGCATGTCCATGGCTACAGCCTGCCCCCCAAAAATCACGCACCCACTCTTGCCTGGGGCTGCAATGGTGCAAAAATGTGGTTAAAAAGCATGGATCCACATGGATCCTCAGGATCTTTGCATTGGGTCACCCCAAATTCACCATCAGATCACATAGCATGTCCATAGCTACAGCCTGCACCAAAAAAATCACGCACCCACTGTTGCCTGGGGCTGCAATGGTGCAAAAACGTGGTTACAAAGCATGGATCCACAGGGATTCTGAGGATTTTTGCATTGGGTCACCCCAAATTCACCATCAGATCACATGTCTGTGGCCACAGCATGAAGCACAAAAATGATACATCCACTGTTTCATTCAGAATGTTTTTTCCCTTGTTTTCCTCCTCTAAAAACGATGTGCGTGTTATGGTCAGGTGCGTGTTACAGAGCGAAAAATACGGTAGTTGCTTAACTCTTTGATACCTGCTGGGAGGGCATTCCACAGGGTGGGTGTGACTATTGAAAAAGCCTTCTGCCTGGTTCCCTGTAACTTCACTTCTTGCAGAGAGGGAAACGCCGGAAGGCCTTTGGAGTTGGACCTCAGTGTCCGGGCTGAATGATGAGGGTGGAGACTCTCCTTCAGGAAAGTGCTGTCTCAGTAGACTTTAAATTTACTGTGATCAATATTAGAACCCCTGTTATAGCATTTATCTAACAATGTACATTTGTATGCCATACCAATACTGTCAAATCATTGGGAGAGCTGAGCGGTGGGAGGGTTCTGAGCACTATATTTACTGTAATGCAAGGGTGGCTAACCCAAACACTTGTCTTCCTTAAAAACCATTGGGCATGCTGGTTGGGACCAATGGAATTGGAAATCTAGCAATATCTGGAAGGCCGCAGGTTCAGTTAAGATACAATATTAAGTTCCATTTTTTTATTGTAAGTTGCTTTGAGTATTTTAAAGAGAAGAAGAGTGACACAAACCTGATGTGTGTTTAGCAGTAGTGCTTTCTCGTTTGATGGCCTACTCTTGGTGACGTTTCTAATGGTGCAAGAGTTCATGCGTTAACATTTTCCTGCCACTGTTTTGAGTAAATTTGCTAGTAGGAATGTACTTTCTCTTTCTTCCCTCCTCCACTCTTAAGGTGGTTAAACTGGATGCCAGGATTGCACACGTCTATTTATTTACGCCAAAGAGCTTTCCAGACCCAGACCATAGTATTAACAGGCGGATCACTAACGCAGACTTGTGGAAGCATCAGAAGGACGTCTTCTTGAGTGCCTTTCCTGGTAGCTCCCTCCCTGCAAAGGGGGAAACGAACTTACCAGAGACAGCAAGCTCAGGTGCCAAGAAGGGTTTTGTTCCACGTGCTCCAGAGGCCAGCAGTGCTGGGACAGCCTTGACTATGCCTCCGCCTTTGCCGTTGCCAAAACCCCAGGAGCAGATGGATGTCTTCGTCACCTTGGCCTGCCATCCTGGTTACTTTGTCCTCCAGCCTTGGCAAGAGATGCACAACCTGGAAGTACTGATGGAAGAGATGCTTTTGTACTACGGCAAAGCGGATGAGGGAACTACCGCTGTTGAAAAAAACAAACTCTATGCTGCTAAAGTGAAAAACATGTAAGTAGCTTTTCATCAATGGCACACAAGTGAAGTGGCCTAGATGCAACCCTGCGTACTTAAGGATCTCAGAGCAGTCTTTGTGTATTGGACCCAATCCCATCGGTTTAAACCAGCCTTTCTTGGGCCCAGTGGCCAGGAATGATGGGAGTTGTAACTCAAGGGCATCTTGGCACCCAAGGTTGAGAAAGGCTGGTCTCAACAGTGGCTAACCAAATCTCTCGGGGATGCTTGCATCCCTACCTCTCCCCTACTGTTTGTCCTCAGCATTTGCAGTCTAGGGGGATATTGGCCCATAGCATTTAGCTCTGTTGGTTCAAATTCCATCCTCCTCTCTTTTTCTGCATCAGTTTCCCTCGGCTGAAGACCTTGGTGCATCTTTGCCCCTACTAATTCCTGACTCCTACATGTCATTTCCTCTTGGGGGGCCATAACATTGTGGACAAATATCTGTACCTTTTCACTGATAACATTTGGGGGGAGGGGGAGGAAGGAAACACACATCAGTATGTTGGGGAATATATGCAGTGGTACCTTGGAAGCCGAACGTCTTGGCTCCCGAACAAATCGGCTCCCAAACGATCGAAACCCAGAAGTGTGTGTTCCGGTTTTCAAATGATTTTCGGAAGCCGAAAGTCCGGCACAGCTTCTCATTGGCTGCAAGAGTGACCTGCAGCCAATCAGAAGCCGCACTTTGGTTTTCGAACGGTTCTGGGAGTCGAACGGACTCCCGGAATGCATTCTGTTCAAAAACCATGGTACGGCTATACACACACACACACTTTTTCTATAATTCCAATTAAACAAATTAAAGTGAAAAACTAAGAAAGGAATAAAGAAGGGTATTGAAATACAAAAAGAAAGGGGAAACGCTATAATTCTGTACATACATGTATAATACAAAGGTATATAAGTGAAATTCTTTTAATGCATATAACATTTATTTATAAGATACTATCTTTTTATAAATGCATTACAAATACCATTATATTTGTCCATATACAATCTGTTGTTGTTATTAAGATTTGTAAACTGCCCTATACCTGTAATCTCAGGGCGGTTTACCACATAAAATTACAATATAAAAAAACACAAAATACATAATAAAAATAAGAACAAAAACAAACCAATAATCCTCTGTTCCATAGGAGAATATAAAATGATGTGGTCTGTGGGTTTCTGAATACAATAGAAATCCACATCCACCTAAAGTAACAGTGAGGCAATGGTCCAGGGCTTCTATGTGATTCCAGCAGAAGTTGGGACATTCTCTCATTCGCAATTCCCTTCCCCAAAACGTGCAGCATTGCTAAATTGGAGATTGTGAGCTGGGGGAAGAACAGTTGGCTTGGCTGTGACCTTGAAGAGTGGCATTGCCAGCAGACAGAAGTTCTGCAGGAGTTGTGTGTGGGGTGTGTGTGTTTTAAGGGTGCAGTGGGGAGAAGGAAATTACAGCGGCTCAGAGTGCCAGGCAGTAGCGGACCTGGAAGGCGACTAAAGCGCCAACTGAAGCAAAAACCCTGAAACAGAAGGAAAAGTACTTGCTGAGCCAACCTGGCCACATACTTGGTGGGGAAGAAGAAACTCTCTTCCTTGAGGTGGGGTAATACTTCCCTTCTGGGCAAGAAAAGCGGGACGAAAGGGGTTTGACTTCCTGAAGCCACAAAAGAAGTTCTTAAACGGCAGGAATAAATTAATACATGCTCATGGGTGCATTCTAGGGGGTGCAAGCAGCCGTTCAGACGTCAGAATGGAGCGAGAGGGGCTGTCCCTATCATAGTCTGGTTACCTGGCTTTATATGAGGATCCCATGTAACACTTTGTCCCTGCTTTTAATTAAAATTAGGGCCCCTCTGCCTCAGAAAGCTCCTGTTTGTCCTCTGCGTGCAACGGGCATCATAGCAACTCTTGATTTGTTAAATTTAAAAAGGCTTTTAACTATATTAATAGTAATTGATTACTTAAAAAAACCCCATCTGTCTGGGTTGCCGCAGCCACTCTGGAGAGCTTCCAACGTAATATAAAAACACGGTAAAACCAGCAGTGATGGTAAACTTCTGTCCATGTTACTGGACACTTTATCTTAAATGCTTTGTGTCTGTACGCTCTCCAAATGCCTCCTTTGTTTCTTAGGTGGCACAGAGTGCTAATAAGAGGAATGTTGGCCAACGGGCTGGTGTCCGTTTATGAGCTGGACTATGGTAAACATGAGCTTGTCGGCATCCAGAATGTAAAGCCTCTGCAGGATATGTTCAGAAAACTGCCATTTCAGGCCATAACAGCCCAGCTTGCAGGTAGGTGATATATCGTCCAAAACCAGTTTAAAGTCCATATCCTGATATTAGTTTCATGATTTTTTTGACCTGGCAATATATCACAAATCATGATGTATGTAAGGGCTGGGCGAAATATCATCCAAAACCAATTGAAGTCCATATTGTGATACCTGTTTCAAATTTTTTGAATGGGCAGTATATTGCAAAATATGGTGAGTGGGTGTGTATGGGTGTGTGCTATGCAAAAATGACAATGGGGGGAAACTGTGAAGCCAGCCAGTGCCTCTACATAGCTCCATCCTTATTTCAGACAATGTGACATATCACAGTTTTTAGCTGGTGAGACATCGCAATCCTGTAACCAGATATTGCCCAGCCCTAGTAGATGTTTGAGATGATGGTCATGGATGTAATTAAAACTACAACACTCCTAATCTGAGTATAGTAAAGAACATTTGGTTCCGGGAACTTAATGAAACTTCACCATCTGCCTTGAAATAATCCCAAATTGGTATACTATAAATAATGTTTTAACACTATAAGAAGCAATATTTGCTCTTCCATCAAAATGGAAATGAGGAACGGCTAAGGGAGCTGGGCATGTTTAGCCTGGAGAAGAGGAGGTTAAGGGGTGATATGATAGCCATGTTCAAATATATAAAAGGATGTCATATAGAGGAGGGAGAAAGGTTGTTTTCTGCTGCTCCAGAGAAGCGGACACGGAGCAATGGATCCAAACTACAAGAAAGAAGATTCCACCTAAACATTAGGAAGAACTTCCTGACAGTAAGAGCTGTTTGACAGTGGAATTTGCTGCCAAGGAGTGTGGTGGAGTCTCCTTCTTTGGAGGTCTTTAAGCAGAGGCTTGACAGCCATATGTCAGGAGGGCTCTGATGGTGTTTCCTGCTTGGCAGGGGGTTGGACTCGATGGCCCTTGTGGTCTATTCCAACTCTATGATTCTATGAAAATGTATGTTCAGTAGGACTGTCTGCTGTATGACATTCTGAAAAGTCATAGCTATGTTACCGTCTTATGAGACATGTAGCTGGTTCAGCCAAGCTTTTTTGTTGTTGTTGTTTATTTATTTTAATAATAATTATATTATTACTAATGTAGGCTCAGATTAAGTAAAATGATGAGGCGTAGTTATATAGAAAATCTGTGACTGACAGCAAAGCCGTAATTGACTGCTTTCAAACTCTCCAGATCGTGAGCTTTCAAATGGCTTGCTGCCTAGGCAGGTCCAGTAGCTTTCAACTTACAACACTGTTCTGTGGTTACATGTTAACTTGCTTTTGTTCTGCTTTCCTCTAGGAACAGAGGGCAAGCAGTGGTCTGAGGAGGCCTCAGTAGTCTTCCGAAATCATGTTGAGAAGAAAGCTTTGGTGGCGCAGGTGCAAGCAGTTATCGATGGGGCTAATCCATGGGAGCGCAAAGCTGTCGTTTACTTAGTTGACACATCACAACCGGACACAGATATCTGGATTCATGATATTATGACCCAATATTGTATGGAGATTTGAAAGGCAAATTAATGCTTAACAAAACCCTCATTAATATCAGCAATAAGAATGTTAACATAGCTGTGACCATTTGTGGTTTTGCTTCGGATTTTTTTGCACTGTTGAATGCTAGAATGTTAACTGTATAAATAAATTTATCTTAACTTATTCTATTGGAACAATTTCCTTCTAGGAGCTAAGTCTAAAGGTAACCACCTTGCATCAGCTCACTAGGTGGCAGCCCCCGAGACAACTTTATCTGCTTTGTGGTGAACCTGTTTTAATGGCATCTCCCATTTAAAAGATGTAAGAGCGGATATGAGGAAAAACCTTGGAAGTGCTGGTGACAGTCAGTGTAGACTGCATAAATTAGATTAACCAGTGGTCTTAATTCCTTATGAGACACATTCATATGATCACGGCTATGCCTGAGGGTGTGATCTTGATTACGGAAACCATACAGTAAAATGCCATCAACCTTTAAAATTGAGATGGAACATTTCCGACTCTGTAGAATAGTGGCCCTTGAAAATGATAGGCTGGGACGGGGATCTACATTGATTATAAGCCATCCACACTGCTGCTTTTCCTCCATATATTTGGCTCTTTCCCATCCCGATTAATAAGCCTGGATCAGCCAATAGTAGTTTCAAGAAGTATGTAGAAACAACATCATTCCTGAACTCTTTCTTACAAAGCCCATTTATATAACCTGACTGCAGTGGACTCTGTGGCTCCTGGTAACTGTGTACATCTCGCACGGTTATGGTGGATTGCATGGTTATCAGGCTATTTGTGTATATTTCATTACTTGAAAATCGGGCTCCTGGCATGGCTTACATTTATCCATAGCAGGACAGCCCCTACCCTCAGACCTACATTCTAAGAAACAAATGAAAGGAAAAGTGATTCAGAGGGAGGAGGAGAAAACCAAACTCTGGCACTATCTAGTTTGTTGCAGAATTCTTGTAATGACCAGCTGGAATGGGGGGAAAAATCAAAAGTTGCTGGTCTTTCATCAGAGCTGATGGAGAGGCCTTGTAATCACATCTCTCCCTCTCTGCAGGTTGACAAAACAACTGCTGAGGGAGGAGCCCAGTGGAGCTGGGAATGTAATGCATAAAATGTATAAATACATTTTGGAGCTGTAGAGCAGGGAAAGGGAACTTGGCCCAGTATTGGGAGGAGAAAATGTTCATTAAAACTCTCTCCAACTTGGTTTCATGGAATCATTTTGCTAATGTTTACTTGTGTAAAGCCCATGTAACTCAATGGGGCTTAATTCTGATTTGGGCATACATAGAACTGCACTGTTTAATTTTGGGTCCTTTCTTCCCACGGACGCCTTTTTAAAACCTTTGGGTCTGGTTCTGAATAAAGCACCTTGGGTTTTGCAAGACATTCTTTGGTGTGTGTGTTTTTTTCATCCAACCTTTCCCCTCTCATTTCTGCCTAAATATAGGATTGCATAGAAGAACACACTGAGGTTGGTGTTGTTTTTTATAGCAAGCCTGATTCAATCATTGCCCTTTCTTTGGAGCAGAATTTATACCTACCCTCTTCCTGCCAATTAGGGGAAATAGGAAGCCCCAAACATATATTATTTAGATGTCCTTTTTATGCTGAGATTCGTAGAGACACCATTGCCCCTTTGCTGAAGAGGCTCGCCGATCTTCCACACAAGTCTAAACTTAATTCTCTCCTCTTAGGCAAAGATCACAAGACGACCTGGCTGGTAGCCAGATTCTGCGCCCAGATTTGTAGGCACAGATCATCCTCTAGAATAAAGTAGCTTACTAAGGAAAAGCTGAAGTCTCCCTTTGGGGCGCCTCAGGGTCAATTTTTATGGTAGCCCAAAACTCAGTTGTACGAATGTATGTATAGATCTCAATTTTAACTCATAAGCTATTGCTGCAATCTGCTCTAATTGTATATTTTATCTTTATGAACGCTGTCATTATTGTGTTATGCGAGCTAGTTTTTGACCATAATAAAAATTATCTTACTATATCATACCTACACCTCTTGAACTAAATGAGCTGTTCAAGGAACAACCCACCGCACTCTGCAGAAAGGTTTCTGCTATATATTCAGCTGTGGCCCCCACTAGAATGGCAAGTGCCAATAAGTAGAAGAAGAAGAAGAGTTTGGATTTGATATCCCGCCTTTCACTCCCTTTAAGGAGTCTCAAAGCGGCTCACATTCTCCTTTCCCTTCCTCCCCCACAACAAACACTCTGTGAGGTGAGTGGGGCTGAGAGACTTCAAAGAAGTGTGACTGGCCCAAGGTCACCCAGCAGCTGCATGTGGAGGAGCGGAGACGCGAACCCGGTTCCCCAGATTACGAGACTACCGCTCCTAACCACTACACCACACTGGCTCTCAAAGTGGCAAAAGAAGCAGCCGTTTTGAATTTGTGAAATCCAAGAAGCACCCCTGAACAGGAATTCCAGGGAACAAGAAACATTAGTGGCCGCTATGATTCTCCCCCTTCTCAAAGAATTTTGCCTTGCTCTGAAATTCAGTCAAATCAAACCAAGACAAGTCAGTATCAAACTGGGGCATAGGAGAATACTACCAAAGCTATTTTCTGACCTTACCAGGTGAAATCCTAGCCACATCGCAGAGTTGGCACTTGCAAAATCTATTAGCAAGTTTCTTTTTGAAGAACTCTGGGTGATGTTCTCCACATTTCCACATCATTCTGCAAATTATTATTTTCTCCTCCAAAAAAAGTCCTCAAAAAATGATTATTTTTGTGTGAATTTCTTTTACTGTGCACATTTTCCCCCAAATTCTCCAGCCAAGTAATGTGTACAAAAAATGCAAATAATATGGTGAATTGTGCATGAAAATGCACATATTACTAGAGGCTCTCTTGCTGATCTTGAAAGAGTGACTCCCATGATCTATCTTATTATTACACTTATCTCTCTCCTCTACAAAGAATACAGGCAATTTTTCTGAAGCCATACTGGCTCTCCTACAGGACAAGTGAAGCAAAACATTCTATGCTCAGTTGAGGCAAGCACAGTTCACCAGGGGGCACTATGACCCTTTCTAAGAAATTTGATTCAGGCCCATTCTTGGCTCAAAGTTCTTGCTCTGGCCTCTTCTGCACCGCTCCCCAAAAGCCACATTTTCCAAATCTGTTTTGTGCGTTGTGGCCCTCTATGGTTCCATACCTATGGGAGTTATTTGCTGTTCTTGCATTCCATTGTATTTCAGATCAACAGTCGTGTTGCTCATCTAAAAAAACTCGCCCATGGACCCTTCATAAAACCCACTCCCTCTTTCCAGAAGAAATAAGGAAAACACCTGGGCTCTGCTTGCTTCCCTCTTCCCTATATTTTGGGGGTGTTGTAAGTCTGCTGCTATTTGGACTGGACTTCATTTCCATGTCTAGCTAACAATACGATTCAGCGATCATCAATCCTGCTATCAGCTCTATAACCCATGCAGGTGGTACGCTCTTAGTCCATTGCTGCTCTAAAGGAGGAGGGAGATGCACTTCTGGGGAAGCCGTGGATCTGTGTCATTTGCTTTCTAGTGGTGAAGCTTTTGCCAGATTGTGACAACCGGTCTCAGAAGGGACAATAGCACATTGTGTGACTTTTCTGGTGGGTCTGTCATTCTCTTACAACATTCCTCCCCTCTCAGGTGAGTAAAGGAAAATCTGCCCTGCGGTCCTTACTGACTAACACAGCCAGCAACTTGGCCTACTCAGAAGCAGGTCAAAGGGACTTCCTCTCAGGTAAATGTGTTCCTGCCTGCCTGCACCACTTGCTACCTTGCATATATAGTAAGGTTAAATATTACTGGGAAATGATACATAATGAATTAAAAAGGATGTTTAAAATAACCTTGGGGGGGGGGACCCGGAAGCTTTTCTTTTGGGAATTATAGGTACAGAACTACCTAAATGGTATAGAAATTTATTTATGTATGCGACTACAGCAGCAAGAATGCTACTTGCCCCAACGTGGAAAGAAGCAGAAGTCCCAGCGAAGGGAGAATGGATACAAAAACTTATGGAATATGCAGGAATGGCTAAACTTACCAGAAGAATAAGAAATCAAGATAACAAATTTCTTATAAAAGAATGGAAATGGTTTATTGAATACTTACCGATAAATTGCAAACAGATAAAAACATTGGCAGGATTATTGTAATAACCTGCAGTTTCATAAGAGTATATATTTAAGACGCAGGTGGTGCTGTGGTCTAAACAACTGAGCCTCTTAAAGGTAAAGGTACCCCTGCCCGTATGGGCCAGTCTTGCCAGACTCTGGGGTTGTGCACCCATCTCACTCAAGAGGCCGGGGGCCAGCGCTGTCCGAGGACACTTCCGGGTCACGTGGCCAGCGTGACATCGCTGCTCTGGCGAGCCAGAGCCACACACGGAAATGCCGTTTACCTTCCCGCTAGAAAGCGGTCCCTATTTATCTACTTGCACCCAGGGGTGCTTTCGAACTGCTAGGTTGGCAGGCGCTGGGACCGAGCAACGGGAGCGCACCCCGCCGCGGGGATTCGAACCGCCGGCCTTTTGATCGGCAAGCCCTAGGCGCTGAGGCTTTTACCCACAGCGCCACCCGCGTCCCTGAGCCTCTTGGGCTTGGCCAATCAGAAGGTTGGCGGTTCGAATCCCCACAACGGGGTGAGCTCCCATTGCTCTGTCCTGGCTCCTGCCAACCTAGCAGTTCGAAAGCACACCAGTGCAAGTAGATAAATAGGTACCGCTGTGGCAGGAAGGTAAAAAGCGTTTCCGTGCACTCTGGTTTCTGACACGGTGTCCCGTTGTGCCAGAAGCAGTTTAGTCATGCTGGCCACATGACCTGGAAAGCTGTCTGTGGACAAACGCCGGCTCCCTCAGCCTGAAAGCGAGATGTGCGCCGCAACCCCATAGTCACTTTTGACTGGATTTAACCGTCCAGGGGTCCTTTACCTTTACCTAGGTTTAAAGTAGATAATTAATTGGGCAAATTAAATGACTTTGGATATGCAGAAGATATTTTAAAAACTAATTTAAGGAACTGCAGTAAGAGGGGGAAGGAAGTCAAACTCTGAAAAGTTAAAATGTCTGTAAAATTAATGAAATGTATAAATTTGAAAAGTATATATATATAAACTTGCTACCTTGCATCTAGCATGCAGGGGTCTGGTGGGGGATGGAAGTGACACAGAGGAGGAGTTAAGGGAGGGGGGAAATGGGATAACCCCAAAACCTTGAAATTACAAATGCACGTTACACAGCACAATGGCATGTAATTGATTTAGAAATGCTTTTTGCATTATTACTGAAACATGGGTTTTAACGCCGGGGGGGGGGAACAGTGGGGATAACCCCTAAGCTAAATAACAGCACAGGGAGTGAACTAAGTGCATGAATAGTTGTGGCTAAGCCTCGGCTAACAGAAGATCATATCTCCTTACTTCTCTGAAATCCTTTGCAGCCCCACCTTTCTGACTGAATAGGTTGTTGCCACTTCCTAAGCAAACACTTTCTCGCAGCCACATGCCTAAACCACATCCTAATGCCAATACTGACTGCCCTTTGTTAATTCTGAGCACGTTGACACTAAGCAGGCACCTGGTTCTGCTACCTCTCAGTCTCGGGGTTCTCCCAGGTGGGGGCTGAATATTGCAAACTGATCACTGGCAGGTGACACAGTTTTCGGTAACTTTTCGGATTTCCCACCCAAAATGTAAATCTGGATTAAATGGCTGGGGGTGGGGGGGAGGATAGTGGCCGGCATTTTGATTCCAGCAATGCTGTGAAAAGCCTGCATGCACAAGAAGCATAGATACATGTCTGGATCGTTATTTGGGCAGCGTGGGATAGAGAGGGAGAGAGAGACAAAGAGAGATAAGGGTAGAGAGTGTTAGCAGTTGCATTGGAAATAAGCATGGACACCACAGGGATTTGAACCCCGTCCTGGGAACCAGGAGCGCCGACCACCAGTGTCTTTTGCTTTTTTTTTTTTTGAGCAATGCAACAAGGGGAAAAGCAAAACCTGAGAGAACATTCTGTGAATGTTCTCTCAGGAAAAAGAAAACCTTAAGAGGTTAAGAAGAGCTCTTTGGAGAGACCTGCGGAGAGACCAGCAGAAAAGAAAATGAGGAAAAGGAGAGACCAATACAAAAGACATTGTTTTGAAAACAGACGACTGAGTGGTAGAATATACCTAAAGCAGCACTGTCCTAATGCTGATGACTCTCACTTCAAGAACAGTGAACTCTGGGAAGCCTGAAGGAAAGAAGAGCTGGAAGAAAAGAAGAAGTCTTCTCCTACCTGCAGGTGATCCTCATCGTGGTGACACAGAATAGGGCCCCTTCTGACAACTCTGTCACCGCAACCTGAAAGAGTCTTAGCACAATGAGTTGCAGACGGAACACAACAGA